GCTTCTGAACCGTGCAAATCAACATTAACCTGGTTCGAGATGCGAGATGATGAGCATTTGCTATATAAGTTGGACAATTATTTTGATTTCGCTCAAGAACACAACTTTGAAGGGATTTGGCTTTGGTGTGTTAACTGTGGGAACAGCTGAATTCCACTGGCTTCTAGATTAAGTTGCGACACACTCAGTCCAAGTCCAGCCTAGTTTGAACCTCCAAAGCTAAGATCTATAGCAGCAAGTCTGAAACAAGTATCAAGAAACAGCAATGCAAATACGGCCTGTGTTCTTCTCTTTATAGCAAAACAAATCTTAGCCGAGCGTTGAAAACATCACAGCCGATTCGAATCACCCGCTAGTAGCACATAGTTTGTTTACATCAAACGAGCACGCGATTGCAAATATTCGTGCTTTAGCTGCTTAAAACACTACATGTAGAAGAATTACACCTTCACGAAGTAGTTTCTCTGTGTGAAGTTTGAAGACAAATATAGATATTTTATTTTTATGTCTTTGGAAATTGTCTCCCGGCATATCAACTCCACTCTAAACAAATCGTAGTTTATAGAGTGAATCCTTTCTTGCTAACCGTAAACCAAGGGAATCAAATCAACAGGAAAATGCTACGCTTTATCATTATGATATTATAACTGCCAGTAAAACTTCGGCTATCCAGTCACTCCTTACTTTGTTTTCTGAATAAAATCACCTACAGCCAACGAAGAGTAATACATATAAAAAGGGTAATTTTAGCAATATATAGGGGTTGAATGTTGGCTAATGAAATCGTTGAAGCTACTGAAGGTGTCGAACGCACACTAATAATCTTTGTTTGCTATTCGTAGTACTAAAGGATACGCCCCCAAAAAACATGATGACATAATCAGAAGTGAAAGCAAATTTATTTACATCTTGAATATAAGATACATTATTATAAATATTATGATTGCTGCATCTACGTCAGGCTCCTGCAGTAGAAAAATTTATACAAAGTTAAATAATTGTGTAAAGTGAATCTATTCAGTATTTTTGTTTTCAAGCATTGTCAGTATTGGTTAACTGGAAAAAAGTAATTATATTATGCAAACTGAACAAAAGATAAGACGTACTGTCATATTGCTGTAACAAAACCACACAAAGATCGTAGATAGAAAAATCCCCCCCAAAACAATTATTGGAGCCTGTACCTTTCCTCAAAAACATGATAATGCTTTCTGTAGTCATTGCGTATTTTTTTCTTTTTCATTAGCCTTGTAATGCTTGATATTTGTCACGTAATCGTTTCGATTCATTTGAAGTTCCAGTAAATTCGGGGTTCTGGCTAACTTTTTTTTTGTTTGATATATGTTTTCAATAGTACCACCCCCGGGATTTTTTCCCGCGAACACTTTCAAGAAGCTACTTAAGGATGTTTTGTAATTTTTGCATAAAATTGGCCTGCTTTTAGTCATTGTCATTTAATGTACAGTACAGGTAAGGCTGGTACACTTACAACAGGTGATGTTTAAGTAGTATTCTGGCTAGAAATAAAGGTAACAAAAGTATACACCTAATTGGAAGAACATTGTCAAGAAAAAAGTATAACCTATGAACGATACGACACAGTAGTTTCTGGGAAACTTGCAAACTAATACTAATTTGCATTGTTTCGCACCGTGTACATGCTTTAAAGCGGTTTACGAGATCAACATGCCACGGGCTGTATAACTGAAGGATGATATTGAAGGAATTGCAGGATTGCTCGCATTTTCCGTAAGTGTAAACTCTCCTTTGTTCTAACTTCGCCACCTTTAGGAAGGTATGAGTAGTTTCCATGTTTTTCTGCATCACTGTTATCTGTGATCATTTAAATGCCACGAAGAAACAATCTTGAATATTCATGACTGTGCCCACGCTTCTTCAGTCTTGCCATAAATCATAACGTCGTATCGTTTATGTTTTATACTTTTCATTCAACAACGTTTTGCAATCAGGTGTATAGCTACTCACCTGACGATCTCCGTCGTAGGATAGTGGGCAAGCAACACCCCTGTAAAAACAAGCATTTACTTTAAATTCGTTACTATTTCGCGACAAACGGATGAAAAGAAGGCAGATACCCCCTTCCCTCAGAAAAGAAAAGTGCCAGAAGAAAAAAAATCAATAAAAAGACGGGGAAAAATTACAAATATTTGTGTTGATACAGTACATAATTTACACAATTTACAATTGCAAAGTAAGAGGTTACAATGTTCAGGTTGTAACCTGCGACCATGAAAAGTTGCCACCCCTTCCCCCATGATGTGTAGCGTGCGCCATTTATCATAGTAGATCCTTGAGGCCATAGAATCAGCTTTTGCAGTGGCACTTTACAGTAGCACGGATATTTAGTTCTATATGTTGCCAAGCAAGTAATTGTAGGCTTGTATAAGTCTGCAATTTGATTTACAGTGATTGTCTATGCGTTGCTTACACTATTGGGCTGTGTTCGTCTCCGGGGTCAGAACATTGATGAATCCTTTGGCCGGACGTTGTCCAGCCTGGTAACGGATCGTCCTCCTAAACAAGAAAAAACGAAAATAGATTACTTCGTGGAAAGTGCGCGCGTACGATATTTACGCACGAGTTGTTGACGTATCAGATTCTGATACAAAAACAA